ACAAAAAAAAAAATCACTTAATTTAGTGGTTTGCCACTGAAATTCAGTAGCATATTCTGGAGGGCTCCTGAGACCATATAAAGTGGCTGAGGGGACCCAGTCCAATTTATCACCATCAGAATGAATAATGATTGAGAGGCAAGTCATGTCAACTACACTTGCGAAAATAGAAGAAATGGAATGTTCTCTACCATGCCCTCTAATTTCTGCACAACTGTAATTCCATCCTTATTCACTCCCCTTAGCCATAATGACCTATTTCTCCCCATACACATATTGGTCTCTTCTTCTCCCAAAAAGCTCAATCTTCCTCAAATCACCCCTCTTTGGGGCTACTTCATTTCACCATAGACCAGTGTTTCTCAACCTCAGCAACTTTAAGTTGCGTGTACTTCAACTCCCAGAATTCCCCAGCCATGCTGGGAGTTGAAGTCCACACAACTTAGAGTGGTTGAGGCTGAGAAACACTGCTGTAGACAACAAACACTATTTACAATAATGGGGGAGTGCTGCCTTGGTTTGCTCAATGGATGGCTATTGCCCATTCCACAAATCCTGCTTTCTTAGCGTGTTGATTACTGTAGTTTTAGCCTTGAAAAGAGAGATGTAGACAAGATTAGGAATAAGCAGATGGAGAAATTTTGAACATGAATTATAAACTAGCCATTCTCATTTTGCTGCTTGTCTCCTGTGTTCTTCCCACCTGTTTCTTACACCAACTTTAGAAATTTCAGTCTGCATTGCAGTGGGTTGACAAGAGGGCCAGGCTGGTGCTCAGTCCAGATCTATGACTCCTGCAGAAGCTGACTGGTCATTCTCTTACTTCTTGCTCTTCCCATTTGTGCAGGGAATGCAAGCCTGGCTCAACTAGTCTACTAGTACTTTCCTAGGTCAAAAAACCTGCAGTATTGAATTGGAGCTTGAAAATGTGGGCATGTAGTACATTTGCAATGGGCTGGGAGTGGAACTTCATCTGTTCTTACACTCAGGAATAATGAGTGGCTCATATTGGTGATGGGCCAAATAGAAAGTATGGATTTGCCCTGAATTAACTATAGTTCAGTTAACTATGGGTAAGAGTGTAGGCTAAAGCAACGGAGCTTAGTATTATGGGGACATGTAAATTAGCATAAATCTAGCCTTAGTTTTCAGATTAGTGGTACAGTATTTTGATCCATTATTTTGTTTCAATTTGTTTTGGTTTCTTTTCTGTTTTTCTCCAGTTTTCAAAATAATACCCATTATTATGTTTTCAACTTTCCTTAATATACATCATTTGAATATAAATGCTGTGTGAAAACTTGAGCACAAATTTCCTTGATGTTATTTATTATGCACATTTTCCCAGCATAGGGAATCTTTTACAAATCAGTGTTTTGGTTTGTGCTGATTTTTGCCCAAAACCCCCATGAACTGACATACTGTATTCTATTTTTCTTGCCTGTGCTGAAGCAGAGTCCACTCTGAAGGATCATTCACATATTCTCTTTCAGAAACGTATAGCAGATTATTTAGTACATCTTTAACCATCGCTAGCCAATAATGTAAGCAGTAGCATTGCCATGTTATCTGCAATACACAATTCTGTTGTACCTAGTTAGATAATTAGCTCAGGATTGTTAGACCTCAGCTTCCATAATTTCTAGCCATGCTGGTTGGGAATGATGGGAATTGTAGGCTGTCACTTCAGGAAGGCGTGTGACTGGGAAACCTTGGCAAGCCAATTCAAACAGGAAGGACGCAATGTATTGTCTTATGCAAATGGTTTTGTTTTGTTTTAATATTGTTCTCTTCACCTCTCTCCCAATTTAGCTGGAAGGTCTAAATCAAAACGGCAATAGAGTGCAAGGCCCATATTCTATCATCATAAATGTTATAGATATCAATGACAACCCACCCCAATTTAATAAATCAAGCTACTCTGGCGAAGTTAGACAACACTCCCTCCCAGGTATTTGTTTCCATATTTACTTCTGCTTATGCCTGAGTTTCCCATAAATGTTGATAGGCAATAAATATGAGACCAAATTTAATATAAAAAAGCCACTGTCACTCCATTGTATTTCCAAGCAATCAGAGTGACTACAGCAAACAGGCCACGTTTCTGAAAATCCCACAGAGCTATTTTTGAAGAAGTTAGCCATTTTGATGATCCAAATTTAATATGCATAGTAGCTTGCTTCTTTACTGGGCACACAGTTAAAAAGAAAGCACCAGGGAAAATTTGATTCCATATTTTTCTCCTAAATTTACATAACTATTTCAGGGACCTAGGTGAAACCCAAAGATGTCTTTGCAATTTTGACTGAAGAGCAGAGTATAGCACCATTCCAACTTTTTCCCCAAACAGACATAATTAAATCTATCTTAATTCACTTTTTTTCTTCATTTCCACTTTTGGCTTTGTTGAAATATTAAGCTGAGGAAGCAGCTGGGAAAAATGGCTAAAAGATGTAACAGTTGAGATGTAAAGGATATAAAATAAGAGAGCCAGTGAAAAGTTATTAAAAGATGTTCCCAAGGTCTTACAAGTCAGAGGTCAACCATGTGAAAAAGATCAATTTTCCCCTTAAAGCAGTGTTGTCCAAACTTGCCCACTTTAAGATGAGTGGACTTCAACTCCCAGAATTCCCTAGCCAGCCATGCTGGCTGGGG